CTAGTGGCCCAGTTTCTGTGGCAGCAGTCTGTGACACCCACTCCAGAGTGAGCTGCTATCCCTGCGTGGTGACTGCCCCAGCTGGGTGCACACCTTGATCCAGAGCAGGAGGGAGGTGGTGGTTGTGGGGGCTGAGGGTTTGAGGCTTGCTTGTTCAAGCACTTAACAAGACACGCTCCCCTGCCCCCTGCCCGCTAGGGTGTGCGGCATCTCCCCTCTCCTCCCCTCTGCCAGGGTGGCCGTGGCTGTCAGCCGCAAACCCACCCCCAGACACCCGTCCATGGCGCATGTATCAGCTGACCTGCCATCAGGAGGAAGTGACTGAGGCCTTAAAAAAAGACATAAGCAGCTGACAGAAATGCCCCTCTCTGTGGGCCAGCTTTCCATGGCTGCCGGGCTGCATCTTACCAAGGCCATAAGCAGGGGCTGTGTTAGAGAAAAGTCTCCGACGCCCCTCAAAGTTAGCTGTAGGGAGGGGTGGCTGGAAGAGGGCAGATCCAGCCCAGATGACAAGCAGGGCCCCTCTGGGAAGGCAAACATGTCTTTCCTTCCCACAGGGTCTGGCTTGGGCTGGTCCACCTTCAAGGGACACTGACTCCCCACCCCAGTGGGGATGTGGTTGTATGGGGACAGGGCAAGATTTATCCTCGAGAGAGTCATACAAATTTTAAGAAGAAATTTGGATCTACAGATTCCATGCAATTCCAATCAAAATCCTAGCAAGCTTTTTTATAGATATTAACAAGCCAATTCTAAAGTTTATAAGGAAAGGCAAGGAACTGGAACAGGCTAAGATTCTGAGAAGTGTCCTTAAGGCAAATGAGCAGGAGCACGGGCAGAGAGGAAGATGGGTGATTCTCCAGCTGGTCTTCCCATTTCCGCAGCCACCTGCCCTGGCCCCACACTGCATCTGCAAAACCACGTTCCTCAATGACTTTGCTGAGGATGAACTCTATCAAGTAAGGGAGGTCCCACAAAGGATCCTAACGATTCATTTCTTGGCCACAGGTACTTCTCTCATCCACTGACCTTGCTGTTTCCCCAATGTGCAAAGTGAGCACAGCCTATGTGAGAGTTCTGCCTTCTCCATGTGTGTCTGGAGTCCTTCAGCTCTCTCAGGAGGGCCTACAAGTGTCTTCTTTCTGCCCAGGGCCCAGCACTCGCCAGATAAAAAGTGATGGTATTTGCTGTGCTCATCAGGGAAGCAAGCTGCTCTTTCTTCCGCTCTTTAGTCGAAGATACTCGGGTGAGGCTCACTGAGGCAATGTGACTTGTCAGGGCCAGAAGGCTAATAACAGGCAGGCCTGGCCTCACACCCAGAGCTGCTTCCAAGTCCCGAGCTTTCTCCATCTGCCTGGTTTCTACAATTTTGGGGCCCGCTGTTGCACAAAGAACTGTCTCAACTTTTATTTTGCTCAGTCCTGTCCGTGTTAACAAAAGTGCATGATGAACTTCTGGGAAGTTCATCTGGGAAGTTCATCACCAACCGAAGACACAGGCTGGGCTGCCCCACAAGCTTGTGCAGCGCCGACGGGGCCACCACATTAAATCTCCCTCCCTGCTCCAGTGACCCGTACAAAGCCCGGGCTGGGCTTTCCAAGCTGTAGGTCAGAGGGTGTCTGTCCATGCCTCCCCAACAAGAGGTTACCCCAATCTCCCTTTTATCCTGCTGGTTCACACCTCTGGGCCTTCTCTGCCCAAATCCTACCCACTAAGATTCCAGATCCAACTCAAGAGGAATGTTGTCCACGAGGCCTTGTCCTGTTGCCCCTGGCTGAAGGTAGCCTGAAGTGGGCCCTGCATTCCTCTCAGGACACTTCAGAAGGGCTGGTGCCCACAGGGGTGCCCACCTGGCACCTGGGCTCAGTGTGGGCTGACCTGGACCGAAGCAGACTGTTCTTACCTCCCAGGAGCCAAGGAAGCGAAGATGCTCAGTGGTAACTGGCCTCAGAGGTCATCCCTGCCCGCCCCCCACCTCAATGGAGCTGGAAGGTTTCCCCTTTCCCCCCATCGGCAAAGAGGGCCATGGCAGGGGCTGTGGCCTAGGGGCTCCATAGAGCCTGCTCCCAAGCCATAAACATCCTGCTGGGAGTCCCTTTCCAGACCTGGGGTATCGATGAGGAGAAAGGTCCCCTCTCTGCTATGACAGACACAGAGTCTGCTGCCTCAGGCTCTTCCTGGAAAGCCCACACCCAAGGCCTAGACCCTGCAGTCTGGGGTTAAACCCACAAGGGTCTGGTCACTTGGTACAGGGACTGAGGCTCTGCCCTGCCTTCCCGAATAATCCAGGCAGCACCTTCGCTCTAAGCCTCTTCAAGGTAAGAGAGTCCCCTTTTCCTGGGGGGGCTACAAATTCCTGCACAACTCCACGCCCAGCTAAGGCGGGGTTTCCTGACAACCAAGGTGGTGACTGAGCAGCACAGGGACCACCACAAAGGCAAAGCTCTTGATTCCCAGGCCAGACCGGCCCCCACACACCCGGCCTTAATGGAGCCGGGGTCAGAAAAGTGGAAGAACAGAGTGAGCTTAAGCAGAACTCAATTCAGTGTCCCACGTGTTTGGTCCCTGGGCTGCTGTGAGCAGGCCCTCCGACCTCCCCCACCGCCCCCCACGGGTCCAGCCAGGTGGGCTTAGCAGGGGATTTCAGAGGGGGTCTCGGGCTTCGCCACAAATGACTCATTAAGGCCTAGAAGGTGAATGGGGGCTTTTTTACCCAGAGCTCTGGCGTAGGAACCTGGGGCCCTGCACCCCTTTTTTTTTTCCACAGTGTTTTTGTGATGAAATCTCTCAGGCACACAAACATTCAGAGAATAACAGACACTTGTGCTCACTTCCTCCAGAGTCAACAAAACCAACACTCTGCCGTTTTTGAGACAGGTTTGCTCCTCCCCACTCCCCCGTTTTTGTTATAGAAATCCTATATTGTGGCTGGTGACAGCCTTTCCCTAATCCTGTTTCCTCCTGGCTTCCCAGCAGCTAATCTGAGGGTGGGAGTGGGTGCATGGCGGAGAGCGTGGTCCCATGTCTGTAGCTTCCACTTCAATGGCCTCTTCCCACACACTTGCTTTTCTGTCCAGTCCGTCTGCCTCCAGAGAGCGTCCGCCCCGTGAGGGCAGGGACTGTGTTTTGTCCCCTGCCACCTCCCAGGGCAAATCAGACAACCAACTGAGCCGGGGCTTGTGGAGCGAATAACACCTCTGTCATCGTGTGGGTTTCTGAAATACATATATAAATGATCCTGCCCTGTCTGTTCTCACTTCTGTAGCCTGCTCTTTCCTCCACTGACACCATGTTTGAGATTCAATCCCACGGCTCAACAATCAAGTGTTCTAGCGTATGACCCACCCATCTGCTCACCAACACCCCTTCTCTTTCTCATCAAGGAGGAGGGGGATGAGAGCAGGGACCTCCCAGCAAAGCGAAGACAGCCCAGAAACCAGGACTCAAGGCTCTAGCCAGCGATCGACCAAGAACCTAAGTAAGAACAAGCCAAAAGAAAATTGAAAGTCCCCCCAGCAGGTCCCACAGAACAGGGGAAATTGTGCAGGCATGCACCCCCAAACCACACAAGTGGGGTCGCTTGGCAAAAGAGCAAGGACCTGGCCTTCATCTCTGTCACCGGTGAGGGCCCCCTGAGGGGGTGGTGGAGGGGGCCAGACCCAACAAGAAAGCAGAGAGCCCAGCACTAGGGTGGCAGGGGTCCCAGCACCACCACTGAGCACAGAGCCGTTCCCATTTCTGGTAATAGGTGAGGTGGCAAGGACCCTACAGGGTTGCCTGTGGGGACGGTGTGAACCCACTCTGTACTGTCATGCAGGCGCACACACACACATACCCTTTGGACTTGAAAAAGCCCCATCTCCTGTGAGATCAGCTGCCGATGAGGGTCCCGCACCTGGGGAGGTTCCACGCACACTGGTAAAGTTAAGTGGCATCAGGAAGTCCTGCTTCCTCCTCCAGGGAGGGTCCTCCACCTTCTGCTGACACCCTCAAAACACAGCCCGCCCAGGGAAGTTTACTTCAGACATCAAGATCCACTACCCCACGTGAGCAGACGCCTTCAAGCCCTGGACCTGAAGGAAAGTGCTCAGGACAGAGGACATCAAGGTGACCTGTCCATTCAGAAACCAAGTCTGATCCCAAGCACAGTTGCCCCGCGGCCCTTGTGGCCTGAGTTCAAGGCTGGGCGTGGGAGGGAGGGCACGAGACTCCAGAACTCTGGTGTGGAAGTGCTGGGCGGGCAGGAAGGTTCTCCCCAGCTCACGAAGACCATCCACACAGCGCCTGCCCACCCCACACTTTGGATGTGCAAACGTTTCCCAGGTATTTTTGATGCAAGGCAGCACCCAAGCTGTGTGGAGGTGCCAGCCCTCGAGAAGGGGCGAGGGGAGACTGTGTGCCCGCGGTCAGAGGGAAGAGCACCGTGTTCGGACGACTGAAGTGGACTCAACCAGATGACAGGATCTGGCGAAGAGAAACACTCTTCACAGCCTCCTGAGAGAGGCCGGGGAGCACAGACAGGCAGGCAGCAGCGGAGGCTCCGAGCTGAGCTCCACGTGAAGACCGAGCTGTGGAAGGTGGAGAGGAGAAGACAAGGAATCCAGGCCGAGGGAGCAGCACACACAGAAGACGCCATCAGGAGACTCCGAAGGGCCACAGGGCTTACGGGGAACCGGAAGGGGCTGGACGAGGCCAGATGGCCCAGACAGAGTGAACACGCCAGGCACGGTTTGGACCTGATTTTGCAGGTGCTGTGGACCCACACCACGCAAGTGGTTTGGAGAAGAGGGATAAGCCTTCATGAGGGTCGGGAAGAAACTGCAGGTGGCCGAGTAAAAGGTGGCTGGCCAGTGGGGGAAAGGGAGCAAAGAAAGCTCCGGCTGGGGAGAAGGGTGAGCTTTTCAGGCCTGCACAAGGCAGCCACGGGGTGGTGGAGGGGGCACGGGGTAGAGGCTGTCAACACCAAGCTGGGATGACACAGAGCTGCACACGGGCCTCACCTGTGCTTCTCGCCTTCCTCCTCCCCTTCTCTGAGCTGCTTGGTCTTGGGCTCCCCGTCTTCCTTGTCCTGCAAAGGAAGGGAGAAAACCACTTGCTCAGATGGATGCTCCTACTTCCAGTCCTTGATGCCCAGGGAGCTGGGGAAGAATGGGACACCTCAGGAGCCTCTCACCCTGGCAAGGAGCAGCTTGGTGTTGCAGCCTCCAAGGGGTGCACAACACCCGAGCCTCACTGCCCAGCCTTCAACTCCCCCGCCACGATGCCCACAAAACCTAACAGCGGGTGACCCCAGCCCAGGCCAGGCTCATGGTGACCCCTAGAGAACACTAGCAGGAGGAGCTAGAAGGTTTGAGTGGTGAGAAATGCAGGTGGTCGGTGACCCCTCAATGGGTCTGGATGGAGCCACCCACTCAGCTGGGAAGGGCAGTCACCAGCAACCAAGGTGGGGCAAAAGCTCGGGCCTCCTGACCCCCCCTTCCAGGCCAGGGGCCTCTCTAGGAACACCTACTTCCTTACCTTAAGGAGTAGCATAACTCAAACTAGAACCAGGCTGAGAATAAGACTCCTGCCATATATTCAGGGGATGGAGAGAAGGCGAATTAGTTTGAAGTTTCTACGGGAAAAACTTCTAAATCTGCTTTGTCTTCCTCCTGCCCCCCATCTCTTTGTAAGTCTCAAACCCGACACAACATACTCGTTCTCCAGGGACACCAGGGGCCGCAACAGAGGATACCACCATGCTGCTTCCAGCTGCAGAAGCAAGTGTCTTCCTGGGCTCTCTCCCTGACTCTGTAAGATCCGACTGGCCCTGGGGACAGACAGACATGCAGGGTGTGTGCCCATGTATGTGCTCACATGCATGACCATGTTCTCGATGCACATGCTGAGGCACTCCAGGGTCTCCGTACCTGCCAGGACCGGCCCTCTGAGGGTGTCACTGTGCACTTCGTTACTGGCAGCATTGTGCCTTTGACCATCGGGCTGGGGCAGCATTCTGAGACATCAGTAAGGCGCTGTCACAGGGAGGCCACTACGACGTAAGAAAGAGCTACAGGGGTGCCTGGCAGGCTCGGTTGGAGGAGCATACAACTCTTGATCTCAGGGTGGTGAGTTCGAGCCCCATGTTGGGGGTAGAGATTACAAAAAAAAAGAAGAAGAAACTAAAAAAAAAAAAATCTTGCCGTTGCAACAACATGGATGGAAGCTAAGAGCAGTCAGTCAGAGAAAGACAAATACCATATGATTTCACTCCTATGGGCAATTTAAGAAACAAAACAGATGAACATAGGAGAAGGGAAAGAAGAAATAAAATAAGATGAAATCAGAGAGGGAGACAAACCGTAAGAGACTCTTAACTCTAGGAAACAAACTGATGGTTGCTGGAGGGGAGGGGGGAGGATAGGGTGATCGGGTGACGGGCATGAAGGAGGGCACGTGATGGAATGAGCACCGGGGATTACGTGCAACTGATGAACCCCTAAATTCTACCCCTGCTACTAATAACACAGTATATGTTACCTAAATTGAATTTAAACAAAAAGTTTACAAAAGGAAAAAGCTAGAGCTGACATATAAATTTTAAGTAAGACAGTTCCATGCGCTAACTCTCCTCCAAGTTTGTTTATACCACTGACAGCTGCCTCCGGAGAGTGGCATTTGCTTTGTGAATCCCTTCCTAACAGTTATCATCATGGACACCTGAGAACAACCAGACCCCGCCATTCCTTGGCCTCACACTTACCGGGAAGGAGACCCCCCCCCGCAAAGCCAGCCTAGAGGCGTCTGGTCCAGCAAAATGCTTTTATGATGTGAGCGGATCAAGGTAAGCCCTTGCCCTTTCAGCCCAGAGCAGCCTAGTCCCAGGGACGAAGCAGCAGGAACGAGTGACGGCAGCCACGTGAGAGAGGTCAACATGGTTCTGTGGGGTGGGGAGGGATGGAGAGAATGTGGGCGTCACAGGAGTAGGAAAGCCTTCCTGGGGCGGGGGCGCAGTTTGAGCAAAGGTGGGTGTGGTCTGCAGAACTCCCAGGTGGTTGGAGTAGCAGGCCTGGTGAAGGTGAATGCTGGTCAGGTTGTCAAGGCAGGTGGGGCCGGTCTCAGAGGGCTCCGACCGAGGTCCTAAGTAAGGCACGAGGAGCCAGAGGAAAGCCTGGGGGACCTGCCGGCAGAAGGACCTTTCCTAAGGGCCTGGCCACCTCGCTGGACAAGCAAGCCCTGGGGCAGAGAGGCTTTCGCCTGGTGATGTCCAAAGAGGGAAGAGAGGACAGAGTACAAACTCTGAAATGAGAAACAAGCTAGGGTTCTCGGTATGGCCTCCAGAGCTGTGGGAGCCTGGGTAGGACCTTCCACAGAGGCCCAACGGAAACACGCTCCCCTTTCCCTGACGAAATGCCAGCGGATTAAGCAAGCCATGAACCTGAACAGTCAAAAAAAAAAAAGCTCCTTCCCAACTGCCCGTCAGCAGGCTCCCAGATGGCCTGCCTCCCCCTGGTAAGTAAGGACAGAGGTGGAAAGGCAGAGAAAGGCTCAGCTCTCCCCAATGTGGGCTGGTGGGCAAACCCCCCAGGAAGGCATCTTTCCACGGGGCTCTGTTAACCTGGACCTGCTGGCAGAGGAGGGTGGGGAAGGACCGGCCTCTGGGAACCAATCCTTTGCAAACACCGAGCCCCTTCTCGGCAGCCACCGCCACCACCGCCATCCTGGAGTCCCAGAGACACTCGAGTGCCTTGGCACAGGCTGGTTATTCATTAATAAATGAGAAAACACGCAACTATCTCTGTGACACCATTAACTCTGCCCACAGCGTGAGGTTAAGGATGATCCCGGCCTGGGCTGCTGTGTGAAGAGCAGGTGCTCAGGAACGATGAAGAGATGCGTGTGGGGCAGGAGCAGGGTAACACATACACAGGCCACAGAAATACAAGGACGAGATGCGCTCCAGTCTTCACGCTCAACAGCAACTCAGGACAGTGAGCATTCCTGAGCAGGGAAACAGCTTCTGGGTGATCCTGGCCTCGGTCCCAAGGCAGGATACTCATTACCCGGGATGGCGGCAGGAGGTGGAGACCACCCTCATGGCCCACCCCAGCCTAAGGGCCTCAAAGGGCCCCCAGAATGGAAGGTCCTCAGTCCAACCCACAGGGAGCCTGGCAAACGGCCATCAGGGAAAGGGAAAAGATTTGCCCGGGGGCTACAGAGCCGGTCCATGGTGACTGCAGATGTGGATCAAAGTCTTTCTGACCCCTGCCCTGTGTTCTCACCGAGGAGAGAGATAAGAAATGGTGTATGAAGAGTGGCACTCAGTTTCTAAAAACAGCTCTGACCCCAGCCACCTCTCCCCGGCTCTCCCAAGGTTCAGCCCTGGTTCTGACCGGCTGCAGCCAGCCCGAGTCCAGGTCCAGGCCCTGGTGCACACCCTTGGAGGGCAGACAGGGCCCAAGGGGCACAGCATCCCTGGCAACCTGGAGACACCCCACCCACCCCGAGACAGTTAAATCTGACTCACTGCTTAACCTCTCCCCACACACACCCTTCTCCAAATTTCCCACCTTTCTCCCTCCTTTCCAGTCCCTGTTCTCTGGTCCTTGCCCTCTCCCTTGCCACCTCCACCGGTGCCCACCGCAACCCAGCCCACAGCTGTTCCCCTGCCTTGCCGTGCTTGCCTGCCAGCCTGCCAGTTGGCTGCCCCTCTGCCCCGGAGAACACAGCTTCCTGCTGCACTTGCCTCCTTTTCCTCTTCCACCTCCCCGAAGTCTCCCTCCACTTTACCATCCACTTCCCAGGTGCTGGTCGTATCACACCGCTCCTCTGCTCAAAGCTCTCGCTGGCTCCCCAGAGGCTCGGGCCATTCTCCTAAAGCGGCAGCCTCATGAGGCCCCAACACCTGCCCTACAGCCCATTCACACTCGCCCCTGTCCAGAATACCTTGACACCACAGCCTCTCTCTCTCAAATCCTGATATGCCCATTCTCATAACCCTGAAGAAAACCCACTCTCTGGCCAATTCTGGAGGTCGGCTCAAAGGCCACTTCCTCCAGGCAGCCTTCTGAGGTTCCCAGACAATAGGCAAATCACTCCTCTGGGCCCAGGCATATGGTCATTCCTGTTCATATCCAGGCCTCCCTCAAGTCCTTCATGTCTTCCTCAAGTGTGGGGCATCTCCTGGAGCCCCTCCTGGCCTGGACTAGACAAACTTCACCAACTGTTGGCCAATTTAACTACTCTCTCCACCAACTCCAGAAGAGCCAAACTCCTGGAAACAGTGGTGGCAGAGGGCAGGAAAGCCACATCCTGGACCAGGGTCCTCTTGCCTCTTCCTGGAAATGCCTCCCACAGCCTACAGGGGGAAAGGGTCTTGATGCAAGACTTAAGGGGCCTCAGAACAGCCCTGCCCAAAACAGAGACCAACTGAGCTGTTTCATACTGTTTGTAATCCTTTTGCCAGAAACCAAATTTTTGCAAATAAAGTTAAGGGTTGTGCAAGATTGGTATTACTTCTTCCTTAAATCTACGATAAGACTTCAGTGAAGCCATCTTGGCCCAAAGTTTTTTTTGTGAGATTTTAGGTATGGGGCTCTATAGGTTTTCTATTTCGTCCTCAGTCTCATTAATTCATATCTTTCAAGGAGTATCCATTTCACCTAAGTTACTGAATGTATTGGCATAAAACCGCTTATAACATTCTCTTATTATCCCTTTAACGTCTGTAGGATCTGTAATGATATCCACTGACACTGACAACCTCTGTCTTTTCTCTTCCTCTCTTAGACCAGCTGGAGGGGCACCTGACTGGCTCAGTCAGCAGAGCATGCAACTCTTAATCTCGGGGTCATGAGTTCAAGCCCCACGTTGGGCGTAGAGCTTACTTAAAAAAATAATAAAATATTACACCAGCCGGAGGTTCATCAATTCTGGGACATTCCAGACTTGGTGTTTTAAACAATGTGTTTGCTCCTCAGTCCCTTTCCAGAAGAAGCGCTCATTAGCTGAGTACCCCTGCAGGGAATAGGGGGAGCACATCAATCCATATTTGCTGCCTGAGCCCCATGAGAAACTCAGTCAACCATC